CGATCTAGTCTTAGGCCCTGACTCACCCTGCATAGACAAGCATTGGGGAGGAAATCTCATTGATTGATTTAGTAGCTATAAATTAAAAGCGTAAAAACATCTTATCGCCCTTTTCGGCTTCATTCTTTTGATGACTAGGTGCGAGTAAGCTAGCATTGACGTCCTATAATGAAACATGGACAAGAAGGCAAAGACTTAGTAACATATTTTCTTTTGCCTAACTAAATGTCGAGTCGTATTGATGAGACATCAAAAGAATTAAGAGGGTCTTGTATCCTCGATTGATATTCCCTTGAATCAGATTGCTCGAGCCGTAGTGAGAAAGATGGTTCGATAGATATCATAACATTTACGGGGATGGTTATAAAGATCTCAATATCGTATTCATATAATTCGAGGATAGGGTTGCACACCCTTTCACTATATTTTATTATGCCTATATTTGGCCCCCATTTTTTCAAAAACTCATTTTTTCAAAATTCATTTTCAATTACATGTTCTCTTATAAGATAATTTTACACTCAAACTCAAAACTTTTTCTTAGTTTTTAACGACACATTCCCCAACAAAATGCTATTCCAAAATACATTTTTGGCACAAAAATGGAGCTCAAACAAGGACTATATAAGCTTAGTGAAAAGAATGTTTCTTTAAGGTTACTAAGCTTGGCACGTAATGGTTTATCTTCTGCTAATCGTGGTTTTCTGCATGCTGGATGGAGACCCTTACGCTCCTTCCGGGTATGTTGGAAGAGGAACCTCCTAATTAAAAAGGAGAAAAAGGCATAAAAAGTGACAAATTAAAAATAGGTTTATTATGAAAAATCATAGACAGTAACGGAGTATCTGAAGTCTTCAATTTACAAAGGAGGAATGGATATATTAAGGAGTTCGTGAATGCAAGACAGTTTGGAAATGGACTATGTGCTTGTCATCTGGTTTATTGGATTCAAATGCAGATATGTATCTTGACAAATTGAATCACCTCATGTAAAAGTTTAAGTTGTTAGATCGCAAAAGAGAATTATTTATTTAAACCATCTTTTTCACGCCTATCACGTGCAGGCCGGACACACGCTGAAGGTCTGTAAACGGGACGGTGAGATATGAATTCGAGACTTTTTTCTATTTTGGTACCACGTTAAACCGCCTCATCAAAAGAGCTTAAGTTATTAGAGAGTGGACAAATATATTCATTTAAACTATCTTCAACATTGATGGCAGGAAAAATTGTCTGCCTGTGGCATTTAGCATGAACAGTTGTCCTGTCATGCATTGGCATGATTTATTGGTGACAGTGCTTATAATTTTTCTTGATGCTCAGTATAGGAATTAGGAAGTGCCAATTATTTTCTGTGTGATTATTTAAGTTGCATATTTAATAAAAAAAGAAATCATGCATTACATGATTGATGCTAATAACTTGATTGCAAGACTGCAGCATTTATGTCTTTTGCAGCTCATAAGTGAATAGTATGCTACTTAGACAACAAATCGAGAAATTCTAGGACAATAATACCATTTTGAGTGTAGTAGCATTAAGGTTAATTCTTGACTTATTTTAGTTCTCTAAACACTGTTGAGACGTTAATTTTGAAAGGCTCGTGTTGACATTTTTTACGTCAAATCAGTTTAAGGGTTGAAGATGCCCTAGGTAGCATGTATTTTAACGGAGTCATGAAAATAGCTCATGTTACTGGTACAAAATTATTATTATGAGGAATGTTATATACGACCATGATCTTTCATCCTCACTGAATAGGATAAAAACTTTTCGTTGCGGACGTGACATAGGAACCTTGGTCTGCTCACTGAGGACAAGAGATCAATATTAATCAAATCTATTTCCTAATCAATACACACATCGAATCAAGTGTAGCAAACTGCAAACCCAAGCATCTTTCCTCATTTATTTTTTTTCCGAACGTCAAAGAAAAAAATGAATAATGACTTCAAGTTCAACTAAGAATATGGGTTCGCACTACATGTCCATTAAGGGCCATCCTATGGCTCATCGATCAACAGAGTCAAATTTGAACGAATAACTCTTCTACAAATAGAAATGAGCTCTCTAGTAAGAGTTGAGGTGAAGCCCCTTTATCTTGTGATTTAGCCAAAAAAATATATTTTAAGAATAGATTTTATAAAATGTATTTTTTTTAATAAAAAGAAAAAAGTGTGATTAAAGTATGGAAAAATTATGAGATGACGTGTAAAATTATTTAATGAAAAAATGTATAGTTAAAAATACATTTGATAAAAAAAAAATGAGTTTAAAAAATAAGATATTTAAATAAAAATCAAATTTTAGCAAATTTTAATAAAAGCTAATAAAATGTATGGTTTAAAACTTGTAGTACCATCAAATGTTTAGTTAAAATTTTATTTTTAATCGACTTTTTAGCTAAAACAAACAGAGACTTCGTGTAAATCATATCACATAAAGGATCAAACACCAAGAAGTCAAAGTTTTACAAAGCTAGGAGAAATGTTAATCATTTAAGATATATCTGGTACATAATGTTAAACAAGACCACAATATTAAAAAGAGAAATAAGTTAGAACCTTGCAAATTACATCGTCTAATCCTATCCATGAGAGAGGTACGAAAATGGAAAGATAAAAAGTGAAAGGAAGTCCCAAGTTTAAGGAATGAACTCAACATAGTAATACAATACACTGCTAACATTGTAAGACAGATTATTATTATTATTAAGACATTGGTCAGACAACAACAGATATAGCATTCAAAATTTAGTGGTTTGTACTATTAGACCATTGTAACTGGAACAACAACAACAAAAAAAACACTTGTGGATGGAGACAATGAGGGGGAGTTGTCTAGAATCACACGAACTTGGAGTCAATCCTTGGCATTGAGATGATCAATAAGTCACGAGAGGTGATCCACTACAATGAACATCTGAGGCATCAGAAGTCCTTTGTCTTGGAGTCAATGTGTTGCTAGCAGCAGCTTCAACCTCAATATTGATAATACTTTTCCTCTTCTGATTATCCCCCCTTGGCTCGTCTTCTACCTCCTCTAGTATGGAACCTAGAGGTTCCAACTGCTGCTGATTCTCCATTATCATGGCTTGAGCTTCAGCTACCACTGATGAATCATCATCTGCAGCGTATAAAATCTTTTGTATTGCTCCGACCACCTGGGATACAAAAAATAACAATAAGCACTCACAGAAAAAGTTATATTTATCACTTCGTCTTGCTCCAAGTTGCTAAAAGCAAGATAAGTTGAAGGATTTACTTGAAGGTTTTCAATCTCGGGACACTGGCACAAGATTTCAATATCCCTCAGCTTGGCAAAGTAAAAGTCCCTCTCCTTCTCAAGACTGTCCACTGATAGCTTTAACTCGGTAATCTGTGACACAAACATAAACATAAATATGCCTCTCGATATTCATAACTCATGAGCATCAGCCATCATCATACTATAGAACCTGTTGCTCATATGCAGTGCGATCTGCTTCTGTATAGACAGGAGGCCCTCCACCAGAAGGTCTAGCAACCTTAACAGATTGGTTTGCTAAGTTCACATTAGTTGCATCATTCCTTCGTCCATTATGAGGGGCATTTTTCGGGTAAGATGCTGCATTTTTAGTTGAAGGTTGCACAGTTGCAGATTTCTTGCTAGCTTCTTTGCCACCCTTGCAGGCCTCTCTCCTTTCCAAAGGATTGTAACTGAAATTGACGTAGAATCGAAGACAGACATTAAAAGCATTAACACATTATGATGGCTACACCACATAATAATCAATATCACGAATATATTCTACATACGTTCTCCAAAAAGAATGTTTGTTTCTCTTCTCATAACCAACACATTGGACCGAAGAAAATGAAAATACCATAAACATACAGAATAAAGATTGAATTGATTTCTAGTACCTATGGCATAGAGAAGAATAGCTAAGAAAAAGCTTCCTGATTCTAAATATCATGCTTCATCAAATCAAGTTCACACTTTAGAAGTATACAAGCCATGTGATCATTAATTAACATAAAACATCTAAGCAAGGAAATACATTTCTTATGTGATGAGATTGTATGATTTAAAGATAACTCCAATACTAAATGAGACAACGAAATTAGAAAATAACAAAAGAGACAATAGAGCTGTGGTATTTAAATAGCATGTGAGGGAAAGGAATGAAGTCACATTTTACACGAGAATTAATTGATAAACATTCTTAAGAAAACTTCAAACATTTGTACCCATAACAGTTCCACAAGCGGAAAAATCAACAAAGAAATGAAAATAGATATGACAATGAAACAATAACAAAATGCCAGCCATTCTAGTACACCATTACCAATAATGACAAACTCTTGTATCCCATACTTTTACATGACAAAAAAAACCATTAATTACTCAAAATAAATACTATATATTACATCAAAAGAAATGCTATCCCAATTAAGTCATAGATGATGACAATATTTCCAAACCATTAATTACAAATAAACAGATTGTCCAAATGTGCACAAATTACTCATAGCTTCATCCATAACTAAGTAATTCCTAAAATTTCAACAAAATAAGCAAAGAGAAGAAAATTATAGAATGTTTTAGGCTGAAGAAATTACCTTCTTGCCAGCCCTCCATTGACAGAATCGCAGTAACGCTTCATCCATTGCATAAATTCCAAATTATCCAGCGGTCTTCCTTTGATTAATTTGTTCACCTCAATATGCTGCAACATACAAATAAATAACATAATATCATTTTTCCACCAAAAGAGTCAGGATAAAACATAAGAAGGAAAGGAGCAGAAGACGCATAGATTTCAGTTAAATAAAACCCATTTCAAAATAAGCAATTTAATAAATTTTTAGATTTCCTTGAGGAGTAAAATGGAAGCCCAGGAAAAATAGTAAGAACACCTTAGTGATCTTGAGTTTGTTGAACACGTCTTGAAGGACCTTGTAATTCTGGATCATCTCGTACTCGTTCTTGGCATCAAAATTGACTTTGTGCATCGGCACCATCCCTGGGTGAACCGCATCCATCAGCTGGCACTGAACCGCACCCGTGCAAGCCTGTAATTTTTCCCAGTATTATAATAATAATAATTCACCCACCATTTCCCACAAAGGCAAACAATTTTTCAAGAAATTAAAAACTCAAAACACCTGAAAGCGTTAAAAGGGAAAACCCACTATCAGAGCCCAAATTACTCTGATCAGAAATTGGATCTGTTTAAAGCTTAAATAAACGGTCAAATCAAAATTCGTGTTTTCGCCACTATACCACAGAAAAAGTACGAATCAAGTTTTTGAATAGGATATACCTCTTCGACTTTGGATAGATTGAGTTGGAGAGTATAGTTGATCCAGGACAGAATTTCCGATCTGCCGACGAAATATGCAGAATCCATTATACCGATGTTTGCTGCCATTTCTTTGAATTTCTATTTTCTTACTATTTCTGGTTTGAAGTTTCGGAGAGAGTTTGTTAGTGTGTGTGTGTGAGAGAGAGAGAGAATTTTGAAATGAGGGTTGAGCGGGACTTTCTTGTATGTATTTCAAATAATTGGGCCAGGCTATGAACGGCATATGTATTTCACAATTAATATTAATAATAATATTTTAAATTAAATTAATCTATATGCCGACCCGACCCGACCCGACCCGACCCCACCCCATTACCTACCCTACCAACTTTATTTTAAATATCATATCATATCCAAATCCAGCCCCTAATCAATTTCATATCTTCTCCCTGTCTCGCACGTCGCCACCACGGCCCGTCGCTGTCGCCGCCGCCCCTTCTCCCCCCCCCT